GCTCTTGCATTTGGATAAGAAGTTGGGAAGGAAAAAAAAAAAGGACAAGAAAATGGAAAAAAACCCCAAAAAAACCTTACTAAAGCAATACCTTGGCATGTCTGATCTCATGTTGCAACCCATGTTTTTTTCCCTACAATGGAGATTTTTGCTATTGTGTGTGGTATAATTACTATGACAGATTTTTTTTTCTTAATTGCACAATAAATAGGATATTTCCTGGCCTGCTTTGCATTTCCAATAGGATTTTCACATCCCCTTTGGGTTCTGAGCGTAAGGAGAGTAAGTGTCAAAAGGCAGGAGCTTTCTCAGTTTTAAAATAGAGAGGATGTAATCACGTGTAATGTGAACCATGAGTTTGATTGTAGGGATGATGAAATCAAATCTCTCCTTAATCCTTACTGTGAAACATTGAGGTGAATTATCCTGCTTGTTTTTGTTAACTTGTTAAAATCCTTTTGAAAAGAAATGTGTTTTAATGTCATAAAAAAACCCTCCTTGCTTTACCCCACAGACTAACAGACCCCTGGACCACATGCAGAGTGACCTCCATGCAGTGAAAAATGAAAGAAGAGGGAGGATAGATAAACCCAAATACATTATTTGCCTGGAAAAATCACAGTGCTTTGCCATATGCAATTCCTTCCAGTGCTGCCATCTTTAAGCTAGATGCTTAGTCATTATTAATGATGGTGTATTTGAAGTTCTTTTTTTTGGAAAAACTGGAACTTGTCTTTTTTTCCTCCCTTAATGTTAGTTAAAATAATATACAGTTGTCTGTGTGTATTACATGTACCAGTTGGCATATTTTTTGGAATATGGGAGAAAATTTATTCCAGTTACTTCATTTATAGCAAAGTATTAGCTTGAACTTGAGAAGAACTCCTTGTTCAGCTATGCTATGCAGTGGTTGGAGGTTTTTGATACTGCCATGACTTCACAAAAATACTTGACACAAAGTAAAAATAAAATCACTGAGACTATTTTTTTCTCCCTCCTGAAACCACCTAAATTTTCTTAATTAATGACATGTTCATGCAGCCCCCACACATGCACACAAATGTCATTACGGTTTAATTAATTCACTAGAAATAGCTGAACTGTTTAAGGAGGAGCACCTTATAATTAATAAAGGAGAACACATTGTTCATTCTTGCCATTACTCAGAGGGAAGCAGCTGGTCTGACAGGAGGCTTTTCCTGATGTTATTACACTGAGTTCCAGGGCAGGACCTTGCATCACTTGGTGTGGAGGACAGAAACAGCTGGAGACTAAGTAGAAAGGCATACATTCTGAGTAGGTAAACTAATAAAATTATGTTTGTGGGGAGCAATGGGAGCAGAAAGTGCTATTTCCAAGATGGAGAAACATAAGTCTATAGAAATTCTGTCTCCACAAACTCCAGACTTTTCTATTGCTGGGGTCCATGCTCATCAAAACTAAGACACTCAGTGGATTCAGTCAAAGTGAAAGGTGGACAGATTCATCTTTCAGATGTGCATCTTGGCCTTGCTCACAGAGGAGACCTTCTCTTGGGCACCTAAGTTCAACTTCAGTGAGGTGAGTGATTGGCCAAAGAGTCTCACCTGGTTAATCCTCAAATCTACTGTACTTTTCCACAGTCACTATGGGAATTTTCCTGTTCTGGTGAGGCTCTTCTCAATTGGGAGTGCACTTTAACAACTCTATCTCCTTGATCCTAGTGCCCACAAAGCCTCAAATCTGTCCCTAGCTGCAGTCTTTTATTCAGAATTGTCAGTACTGTCCCTAGTTGTAATCACTGTATCAGAAATATCCAATATTGCTGGCAGGGAGAGTGCATATGTCACCAACTTTCTCCATTTTATAAGTACTTCATCACTTTCACTGTGTTTCAGGGAAGCTGTATGAGAAAGCTTTTGTGAAAAACAGCAGGGATAAATGGTGGTTCTCCAGCTTGTCAATTATATGTTCTTTTCTTTCCATCCACTGCTTGAGTTCTTGATCTTGATGAAGGTATTATTTAATTCCTGCCTTTCTGAGCCCTTACTCTTGGACAAATATGTAACAGATTTTTATTTAGGCACTGCTGGGTGCTTTAAAAAAGCTGTTTTTCTTTGAGGCTCAGAGTGACTAAGCCTAGGAAATTTTCTTTCTCATCTCCTCCTGGTAGTTAATAGACTTCACAAGGGATCTCAAAACTCTGATAAACCTTTGAAGTTGTTACCTACTAAGGTTTTGGTCTTTCTGAGTGCTGAACATTAAATTACTGACTGCTGTTAGAAGCAATGAGAAAGGATTCAGAAAACCAACAGAGCTTTGCCTATAATTTCCAGAGGAAAAGAGCTGAATATAATAGATAAATTGTGTTGCTGGGGAGATTTTGATTCTGTTCCCTCCTCTGTCACCAGTTTGCCTTGTGATTTGTGGTAGCATTTTCAGTTATGCCAGTCACATGAGATCAAAACCCATGAGTCAGACTCCACCCAAATCATGAGCCTGGCTTCCAGATCCCAGAGCTTTGAACAGAGATCATACTGTACTTTTTCTTTAGTTTGTCTTTTGTTTTTGCAGTTTCCTCTGCCTATTCCCAATGTGTCTCTAGCAATAAATGTTTCCCATTGCTTTGGAAGTGTTGAGAAGGAATTTTAACCATTTGGGACTGTTGGAGCCCTCGTTTGACCTACACAATTAATTTTATTTTTGATCACCAAGTCAATCTTATTTCTTTCAGATTTCACATCTTCTTGAATTTCCCTATGACTTCTACATCCCTTAGCCCCACACAACCCATCACTTCTGTTCCTCCCTTGTCATTATCATTCTTCCAGGCACATGGTGCAGCTCTTTGGGATGTCCTTTGCTAAGAGTTGGACTCAGTGATCCTTGTGGGTCCCTTCCAACTCAGCAGATTCTGTGGTTCTGTGATTCAGCTGATTCTGTGATTCAACTGATTCTGTGGTTGTGTGGTTCAGCTGCTTTGTCCTTCCTTCAGTCCTCTGGTTTGGAGATGGTTTTTCACCATTCCCTTGAAGGACAGAGAACGTATAAGAAGATGCAGGTCTGGGCAACCCTTAATCTTTGCATGAGAATAAACAAACGGAGAGAGAGCAGGGAAATTGTATCCCTGTGCCTTTCCTGAAAAAAGGTGAAATTGTGATTTATTACTAAGATGAAAAAATCAAGGGGAAGTTTGGTGTCATATCACTGCTTTCTCCCATGGCATTTGCTTCTTTTCAAGAAGGACAAGAAGTCAAAAGCTTCTGGCAAAGGTTTAACAAACAAAATCCAAATCAGAAAATGTGACTTCACAGTAATTATGACATGCATTATGGTGGTTCCTGGTATTCCCATGGTGACATTGTTGCTGTTGCCATGAAATTTGCAGAACAGACCTAATGATGAAATTAATGAAATTTTGCAAATCCAGGCTACTCACACCTCAGGTAGATGGGAAATGCATCCTCTCCTACTCATCCTCATGCTCTAACACTCTTTCACCCACGTTGTTTGTTGATCCTTGCATATGCCATGTGCCAGACATATTGCAGATCTATAATTTCAAGTAAAACTGCAAACAGACTGTTCCCCCCTATATCCAAGAAGCTCTAGAGTCTGAGTGCTTGAAACTGGATCTGAACCCAGATGAAATCTCTTTACACATCTCTGAACTTCATGCCAGGTTGTCTCCAAGCCTTGAATTCACACTCTTCCCATAGTTTGGTGACAGGAAGTGTGAATTTGTTTTTAAACCCAGAACTGTCAAAAGTTGCATTCAAGACATGAGAAAGATTCTTGATGCTCACCAGAAAATCTTTTGGCTGAACATTTCACAGTCAAGGCCTGAGTTTGTACCAACTGGACGTGTCTCAAAATGTTTCTAGTTGTGCTGGGATGCTTCACAGAGCTGCAGTAATAAGAAGGGATTCATTCATTAAGACAGAGAAATGCTACCTCACACCTTGAATATTAATAAGATAAAATTTATGGCAGCCACAGAGTAATATAATAATTTTAATTATAATAAGTAATATTGTCTCCGGAGGAAAAGGGTATTTATCTGCTTAGCTCTTTCATCAGCCATTTTTGGACACACACTGTGCTTAAAATGCAGTTATGCAATCCATGTGGGTCAACAACGGAAGGTTGGTTGCTTCACCAAGATTATAAGAATCTTTTAAACACAATGGTACCACAAATTAAAATGGAAATCTATCAAAACAATTATCGTCCTGAAAGCTTTGGCCACAAGCATGATTATTGTAGAAGGATGTTGTCCTTGGCCACAGCTTTGGCTCAGTTCTGCTGGTGTTATTTGTATCCCTCCAAGGCTCAAAGTTAGAATTTGCATGGCTAAGGACCATAAATTTTTAGAGGAAAAAATAGGCTGCTCCTCAATGCTAACACTAGCAGTTTTGTGTTGTTGTGTAGTGGTTTGTAGGCAATTTGTTAGATACTAGAGATAGGAACAGACTGAATGTGGCTGAAACCTGCCTTGAACTTTGGGAGGATTCAGACAGAGATTTCTGTCTGGACCTGGCTGTTTCTGTCTGAGGCAGTTATTGATGTGAACAGGAACAAGTTAATGTCCAGAGTTTTTGAGTTTAACCCCAAAGTACATGTTTTAGATAGTAAAACAGTGAAGCAGATATTGAGCTGATATAAACTGCAGTCTACAGAATTAAATAAAGCAGAAGTCCTGAGTGTGTCCAACCTGTCCATGAGGCAGGCAGTTGTAGGTGTAGAGTTGAAAGAACACCCTGGATGTTGCTTGCCATCAGCAAAGGACACATTTCCTTAGAGATGTCCTCAGGAGAGGCTCCATGTTGCACCCTTGAGCTCCTGACAAAGGCTGAATCCTACAGTAACTCCATTCTTGTGTTGATGATAAACTATATTAAATAACAAGCACTGCTGGTTATTTTTAAAATGCTCATTTTTCTTTCACCATCCAATTTTCTGTCTTGAGGGAGGTAAATGAGTAACAAATCTGAAATCCATTTTTCCTTTCCCCCCTCCAGGCTGGTATAGATGGAGAAAGCATTGGGAACTGCCCATTCTCCCAGCGTCTATTCATGATCCTGTGGCTCAAAGGAGTTGTGTTCAATGTCACCACTGTTGATCTGAAAAGGTAAAAATTGTTTTGTTTAATTGAAAATAGGTGTATAACCCAGTGTTTGCACTATAGAAAAACCCCTCCAAGTTAAATCAGATTTTTATGTGGCCTAGAAAGCCTGTGGTGCACAACAAAATAGTTGGGATTCAGGTTTGGCTGTTGTTTTTATTTTTTTCTCACTTGTGGAATGTTTTTATATTAAACAGGGTGCTTGGGGTAGTTTCAAAGTCTTCCAACCACAAATTACTGGAGAGGAAAAAAAGGCAGACTGATTTTGTAGGAACTATAAATATCTGTGCAACTACCCGACCATAAAGATTAGCGATTTCATGACTTTTTCTCTGCTTGCAGAAAGCCAGCTGACCTGCACAATCTGGCTCCTGGGACCCACCCACCTTTCCTGACATTTAATGGAGAAGTCAAGACAGATGTTAACAAGATTGAGGAATTCTTGGAAGAGATTCTTGCACCTCCAAAGTAAGATCTTTGGATTTTTTTTTTTTAGTCAGTTTTCCATTTCCTAGGAATGAAAAATGTCCTAAGAGGAGTTCCTAAAAAGCACTCCTTCCTACAACCTTTACTTACAGGAGTAATATTTATTTATGAAATTTGCTGGCTTCAGTGAGATGACTTCCATGTGTGAAGGTTACTTATGTGACTAATAACTGCAGAATGTTTTCTCTGTACACATTTCAGGATGCCCTTGTATGCAGAATTAAGGAGACCAGTAATAAAAAAAATTTGTAGGGGTCTGGTGGCCACATTTTGCAAAGCTAAAAATAACTTGGAAGAGATGCTGAGAATTGCCACACAAAATATCTGTGCCAGGAAAAGCATTTTACAGTGAAAAACTAGAGGTTTCTGAGCTGTATGGTGTGTTAGGAAGGTTGGAAGGGGAACTGATTACAGAGGACAAGAGGCTCGGGAGGCAGAAAAGTGCTCATTATTCTAGTCAAGAAATGACAAGAGCCCATAACTGGGAGTTATAACTAAACTAATTCAGATTAGGAATAAGGCCCAGATTTTTTTAGGATGAAAAAGCTACCAATGAAAGGTTTAGATTTACCAGATATGTCTTAGTAATTCAAACATTTTGGACTTAATACAAGGATAATGGAAAAAAATAAATAGTTGGCTTGTGAGTTGGACCTTAGAATCTATGAATCCATCAAATTTGGCTTGGTTCCTTGTGGAGCATTTTACCTCCAAGTGAATCAGCAGCTATAGGCCAGTCCTGAGGCAAGAGATTAGGCATTTAAATTTTCTATACTCTGCTCCAAGACCACTGAAGTCAGTAGGAGTTGTTAGTTTGTGTTTATCTTTCAAATCAATATATTCCTTTTCACCAAATGTCTATAAAAAGCAATGCAGGGACTGGAACATTTATGTTCCTTCACCTGGTGAATCCTAACAGCCTTTGCTGTTCCATCCTGGAGTACATTTTCAGAGCAGGGGATTAGACACGGCTGCCATTCTTAAGGGTGTGATCTGGCTGCCACACTCCCCTGCACCTTTCTGGAAATGTATGTTTCCTTCTGATTCAAGGCTGATTTTGGACTGTGGTTACACAAAGCAAAAGTGCAATTACCTTTGTCTTGACACCATCCCTATGTAACTCCCCACATGCCTGCCTCCACAGACAGATTACAGATACCATTACGAGGGTCTTGCCAAACTCTTTTTTTGAGATAATGAGTGTTAATTACAGTTCTTCACACAGGAGGTTTTCCTCTCTTCTTGTAATTTATATTTGTAGCCATGGCTGTGATGCTGGTAACAAGATGTTACTCTCCCCACTGCTTTTGCCTTTTCAGGTACCCCAAGCTGGCTGCTAAGCATCGGGAATCAAACACTGCTGGAATCGATATATTTTCCAAATTTTCTGCATACATCAAAAACACCAAGCAGCAGGATAATGCTGGTGAGTATAACCATTGCCAAATGTGCCAGGGAGTTTGTGTGCTTAGAAGTGAAAGAATTTTGCCATTCTTTCATAATTTTTTTTTTTTTTGTAAACTTTGCTCAGATGACATCAGGCACTGCTGCTGATCAGCTTGAGGTAGTTGGTTAGGACTCAAGTTCACATGTCCACAGCTGAATTAACTACATCTGTAGTAGTAAATAAAAGAGCCATGGAGTGTTTGGTAGCCTCTTTACCAACAGCCATGGCGTGACTCCTCTCCATGCAGCCCAGTTTCCCCACCAGAACAGGATCCCTAACTGCTTACTGGAATGGACTGGTGGCCTGTGCTACCTCCTTCTCTGCCCCAGCACTGCTCAGAGGAGTGTGTGGTGACTGGACTCAAACCTGTGAGAGCAACTCATGCTTTATTAGATTTTGCCATCAGGCTCTTGGCCCTCTTATGATTATGTTATGCTGTTATAGCTAATTTGCTCATATAAACTGAGTTATATCAAGACATTTCATATAAAATAATTAAAAGACAGAAGTGAATTTAAGAAATGTAATTACACTGTGTAAGCTCCAGATTTTCCTTCACATTTGTTTATGAAGAGTCCCCCAGAAGCCAGATGCCATTCATATTTATATGCATCCCACACAGTCTTCTTAATGAAATTGCTGTTCTTCTCCACATTCCTTTCACCTCAGAGAGGCAAAACTCCAGCGAGTCTGGGCTCCTGTTGCTCCATAAAGCTGTGGATTTACACATCCCTATCCCTTGAGATGATCTAGTAGAATATTTGCAGTCATTCACTGGTGTACCTTCTCCCTTGTATTCCGGCTTTCACAGAGACATAAGGCATGTTGAGTACCATGGGTTTATATCACATCATTCAGAAAACACTAGATTTTGCAGGTTCCAGCTCTGCCACACACTTCATCTGTGCAATTATATTTCATTGCCTAAGGCTCACCCATGAGATAAAAATGGGTAAATGATGATTTATGTCAGATAACAATCTCCTCTGTAATATTTTTGTGTTGTTAACCGAAGGAAATAATTACAGTGCTTCGCTTCTCAGTGATGCTAAAAACTTGGGTTTTTTTTGTCTAATGCTAATGAGATGCTCAGCTAACTTGTCTAGGAAGTTGTAAAAGGAAGATAAATTAAGAGTTAGACTAAATAGATGTAACAATGAAAGTAAAATATCCCGGCCATTTAGAAGGAAGTTTTATGGTCTGCTGTGCAGCTGTAAATCTTCAGCTGTGCTATCTCACATGCACAGTTCCAACTCTTGCTTCTCAGTGACTGCAATATTCAAATGCCTTGGCTCACAAGGGCTGACATCTCCAGCCAGGAATAGATGGGTGTCCTAGAGGTGTCTGCATCTGGCCATAAGCAGAGCTGGAATTCAAGGTCTGATATCCACTATGGTGAGATAAGGAATCTAACCCCACAAAGCACTCTACAGTTTCAGAAGCTGCAGTATGATTAAAGAGAACTTTCCCTAGTTCTGCATAACAAACTTTTGGTTTAGGTACTCTTGCAAATGACAATCAAGCACACCAAGGTTTTAGAGACAAGAGCTGTTAAGCTGCATCAGAGACACAATCTTTGCTCCCTGCAAACATCCTCACTCTATTTTTGTTACCTGCTCCTGTCTTATCCAGACACTGCAGTCTCTGAATGTATTGCTGCTCAACTTTCTTCTTCAAAGTAGAGAAAAGCTTTTAGCTTAATTTTATTACAGCTGGAGTGCTGCTGCAAGGAGAATAAAGCAGACATGGGCAGAGTAGAACTGGATTTTTCTATCTATAACTATGTTCTTTCTATCAATGGAGTAAAGTCTCTGGGACTGTCAGTGCAGACCTCAATTTCAGCAGAGTAATTGACTGTCAGTTTTCAAGGGCTAAGGAAGAATAGTTTCTCCCTAATCCCAGGGATGTTTTATTCACCTTCTGCCTGGTTCATCTCAACAATAGCAGTTTTTCTGAAGGCTGATTAGGATGGAGGAGAATGAGTTAGTCAAAAAGTAGTTGTGTTAAATTTCTTGAGCAGTGAAAAGACTGTATGCAAAGAGGAAAGGAGAGCAACACTGTGTACATATTTCCTAATGAACCTATTTATTTTTGATTTATATTTAATAAATTTTTGTAAAATTGCAACACTGATTCAAAAGTAATCTGAGGCTTTAGCCCTGATCTGGTGCATATCATTTTACAACAGGTCCTGTTGCATTATTAAAAATAATATAATAGAATCACAGAATCCCAAAAGACCTGGGATCTGTAAATCTGGAATCTGGAAAAGACCTTGAAATCATCAAGTCCAACCTTTGATCACGACGCTGTCAATTAAACCATGGCATTGAGTGCCACATCCAGTCACTTCTTGAATACTTCCAGGGATGGTGACTCCATCACCTCCCTAGAAAGCCCATTCCAATGCTTAATAACCCTTTCACTGACTAAATTCTTCTTGATGTCCAGCCTGGCCTTCCCCAGGTACAGCTTGAGGCTTTCTATTGAAGAAAATAGTTTTAATATTGTATGAGTATTATAGTCCATTATAATTATATATTAAATATTATACATTCATTTTTATATATTGTGATATGATTTTTTTTCCTATATAACAGCAGAAGTAGTTGTATATAGTTCCATGACCAAAAAAAAAAAAAAATTACTTAGGTGAAGTCCCTTTCCCTGTCTGTGCATGAACAGGTGAGATCCAAAAAGAACAGAGATTGCTGCTCGTGGTTATCAAAAATGGTTTCTGTAGCTCCCAGCTCTGAGATAAAGGTTATATGTGTCTCATAGTCATCCTCTATATCCATTCCTAGCTCCAGCTGATTCCAGTGCTTGGGTTGATCTGGAAAGCCACACCAGTGACTGGAACATCAGTTGCATGTGATCAAAACACAAATAGAAGAGTTGTTAGTAAATTAAAAATAGATTATAGAACCCAGGTCATTACATAAATAATAGTTTTCATTTCTTTTAATGGGAAATAAAGGCCTGTCCTGGCAGGACAGCAAGGTGGTTAAAGCATCAAACATCAAGTTATTTAAATTATGTTCCCTTAACTCAGGAGTAAGGGAAGTGAATTCAATGCCATGTGGGATATCAGGCTGGGAATTTGTGGCATCAGCCTGTCTCTGGCTGTGAGGAGTGTGTGTTAGGTGTAATTATGTGTGACCTTGCCTTGTAGGGTACTGGTTTAGAACAGGTCTCATGGTGTGTGCAATGTGACCGCTCACCCCAGCCTGGGGCTGTTACAGCTCTGCAGAAAAGTGACACAAAATGGTTGGGATAATTAATTATATTTATGCAGCATGAGGGTACTGGATGTGAGAATTGATGGGAATCTGATGCACACCAAAAAGAAGGCCAAGCTGCTGTCCCTCTTAGCAGAGTTTGCAGCCAGGACCATGGAGAAATGTCACACTTCACGTGATGCCACTGCTGGCCATGTCACTGTGGTGTTTCCTGTCGTGAGAGCACTGGCAAGATGCCACTGCTAGCACAGCCTCTACATAGCTAAATGATTATTTTTTCCCCGGATAATGGAAAAGTCAGTGAGGACAACAAGAGATTGGTAAATCCTTGCTTTAGTGTGTGTCTGAGTCCTCGTATGTAAATGAACAGATGCAAGTATACATTTGTAGGTCTGTTTCTGAGATTGTGACACCCTCTGCTGGCAAATATATGAATGTATAAAGCAGCTCTGCACAAGCAGATTTACAATCAGGTCGGAAACATCCCCTTACCAAAACAGGATTCTTTCTGTCAAGACAGTTTCCTCTTACAAATGTAACATTGTCAAAAGAGAAGTGTTTCTTAGTAACCTATCAATTTTGACAAAGTTTTCATGGAAAAAAATTATGTTTTTTCTGGATGACTTAAATTTACTTTGAAGTAAAAATGCTTTAACATTATAGAGAAAAATAGTGATTTTTTTTTTTTTTCTGGATTCATGCAGTACTTCATTAGCCACACACCGTTATGTTTTATGCCTGGCACAGAAGCAGGCGATAACCTTCTCCTGTAAGTCTGCATGGCAATATGTTATTGATCATGATTCATTTACTTACCAAAGGTATTTGGCAGTGAAGCTGCCCTGATTTAATAGTTCCCTGAATTTCTGATTCTTTTTTTCCATCTTTGTTTTCCTAACTCTTCTGTCTTACAATATAAAAACGTTGAAAGTTTTGGAAAGGGCTGGTGAGGGCTGTAAGCCCAGAAGCAAACATGCTCATGCCATATCAAAGTCCCACCACTTTTAAGCTTCTTGAAAGGGAAGGAATTGATTCCAGATTCTCAGGATGTGGCAAGCTGTGTTTAAAGAAAGTGTGTGCATTTATTATTTCAAGTCAGTTCAATCAGAACTTTATTCCTTCCACCCCCTGTGCCACTTGATAATTTTATAACAGGCCTGTTTGAAGGAGTCATCTCCTCATTGTGGGATTAGATCTGTGTTTCAGTAGCACCACTGGATTATTCAGTTCTCTGGCTGTTGTTGCCAGGCTTCACCCCTTGTGCCTGAAATGACCATAGTTCATTCACACAGAGACAGGAATCCTTGGGAAGGTTCAGTGCAGAGGTCTTGAAAATTATTTCCTGGGTGCTCTTGCTCAAGTTTTCATGGCCAGATTGAGAGTTTTTGATTGCTTAGTGATTGTTTAATATCGAGAAGGAAGTCTTGTCTGAGCACAGGAAAGTAAATTGAGGTCTTGTGTGTTTACTTTGGTTCTTCTGGTTGATGCTGAGCAAGTCACTCATGCTCTGTACAGTCACCAGGGAAGCAAAAATTTATGTATTCATTGGAGGAGGATGAAATCTAATTAGAATGCTGTGTACACAGTCAGCATCCTGCTTATTATTTTTACTTGTGAGACTGTGTGCTGCAAACCAAGGGGACAACCTGGGGTAACCACCCATTAACTGTCCCGCCTAAAATTGTGAGTTCTTTGGCTCGTAGAATGAGCCCTTTGATTTCATGTAGGAGTTTAAAAAGT